CCCCAAAACCCCAAAACCCCAAAACCCCGTAAGACAATGATTCTAAGTTTTTCATGTTATTCATATTTTAATTAATAATACAAAGTTCAGTTTTGGATTAAAGGTTTGATTCAAGATTGATTCTATTATTTCTGTATTTTACTTTGCTGTTATCAAAATTATAATATAGTTTTAATAAAAATAAAGCATATGATTAATAAACGCTACACAAAACTCAAGAAAATCGGGTCAGGCTAAAACGGGGAAGTCTGGAAAATTATAGATAATGTGACAGGAGTAAAGTTTGCTATAAAATATGTAAAACTATACTATCAATCATTGATCGATTATTAGCTGAAACACAACGAGGAATTTCTTGTAGAATAAGATATCTATAAGATATTTAAAAGGAAGTAGATCAGTGGATTCCCTAGGTATATAGAATCCTCTTCTTCTAGGGATCAAGCTTTCATTATCTTTGAGAAGATGGGTCCATCATTAGACTAGTAAATAGATAAATCACTCTGCTAAAAACTTTCTACCACAGTTGTAATGAAAATTGGCATTCAATTAGTAAGTATTACAATAATGACTTTTGTATTAGGTGACATAGCTACAATAGCTGCATGAAATAGGGTATATACATAGAGATATTAAACCCTAAAATATTCTATTCAAAGACAAGACATTCAGAACTATTTCATAGTATTAGATCAGCTTGATAGACTTTGGAGCATTTGCAAGTTTGAATCAGATGCAAGGTCATCGTAAGTGATATTTTTCCAGACTAATCTATCATATAGCACCGTCAAGAAAAGATGATCTCATATCAACTCTTTACCTGTTAATTCATTTAAAAGAAGAATCACTTCCATGGCTGATATTAAGTGATTAGAAAATAACCAAAGCTGTTTAATATAAAAAAGTTCTCAGCATGAAATGCTCATTTCATGAATTGATTAAATCATCGTCCTATATAGATCATTGTATATTACTCTTTATTTTGTTAATTATTATAGGCGTTTTGAGAAATCTGCTTTTGCAAGTTGATAACCTATAATTTGACTAAAAACCTGATTATAGCTAAATAATAAAAACATTTCAAAGATAACTTCTAGAATAAAATACTAAGAAACAGCAGCAATAATGTTAACTTTAATCAACTTTTGTGAAAAGTAATAAGTCATTATCCCCTTTCACTGAGAGCAAGATGTCTTCAAGATAGAAGAGAGTATGAAGTTCTGATTACTATGCTCCATCTACCAATAATTCTTCAGGAGTTAATCTTGATATACATAACAAATTAAGCTTTATAGATGTCATTAGACAAAACAATTTAATAAGAAATTATGATTCACGAGAAAAACATGTTTAAAAGAAACATGATGATTCTAGCAAAAATTAATAACAACTGTAGAACAAGTAGAGTAATATATCATTAGATAGGTCTTAAAATGATAGCAAGGTCTAAATTTTCACAATGAAAAAGGAGATTGAAGATAAAGCAGGATTTAATTTACTTAAGTAATGCTGTTTCCAACCATATTTATCTAAGCAAAATGATTAATAACATATTAATAAGCCAGGAAGCTTTGATTGTAGTGTAGATTAATTTTACATAAATGAAGAGTTTGATGACTTTGATGAAGTTAATTAACCCAAAATTATTGATGATATTTACAATGTCATCTATCATTCCAATAATCTCAAAAATATAGGAATTGGAAAAAGTACTCAATAGGCAAAAAATTTTACTTGAAAAAGCAATATGCAAGTTATTTGAAGGAAAAATGATTTTTCTTTTTATGCTATTTAATCAAAAGCAGTACCAAATATTATTAATCAATTAAATTCTACAGACATTTATTAATATGAATATGATGCTATTAATTCACTTTATACAGCAATATGGGGTTTTGGGGTTTTGGGGTTTTGGGG